ACACAAGTACACACTCAGATACAATGCACACACGCTTACTCCACACACACACCTGCACACACACACATGCACACAAATCACACATGCATACACACCTGCACATTCACACACAGACACATAACACCCACACATACACACAACACACACACACACACACACACACACCTGCACACACTCACACACATAGTTGCTTCTCGAGCCGCTGTGTAGAATGGTGACCATCACCTTCTGACGCCCACTTCTCATCTTCCGGGAAGCCTTTCCGAAGGTGCTTGGTGGTCATAGCAGCCACAGCTCTGTGGTTGGGTCACATCAGAGGGATGACTCGCTCGCCCGTCTACACTGATGGACTCTAAGGTGACACCCTTTTGCCGTGATAACACACTCTGCAACACACAGCTTTGCACATGGCTTTCAGATTAGCTTCCTCAGATAAATGCAGCAGTCATTTTATCAGCTCCCGTTTCTATGGCTTTCCAGAATTACACGGACTCAGGGGTGTGCATTGTCCACGTGTGTGTGTTTCTATGTCTATGTGTGCCTCTGTGTGTCTATTGTATCTGTGTGTGTGTTGCTGCAGGCGTGCCTGTGTGTGTTGCATATGTATACATGGGTTATGTGTCTGCATGTATCTGTGTGTATCTGGATGTATCTCTGTATTTGTGGGAACATATGTGTGCGTCCTATGTGTCTGTGTATTTGTATATCTGTGTCTGTGTCCTTGTGGGTGTGGGTGTGTCCATGTATCTGTGTGTCTGAATGTCTGTTGCATGCATGTCCTTGTGGGTGCATGTGTGTGCACATGTATGTGTCTACATGTCTGTTGCATGCATGTCCTTGTGGGTGTGCACCTGTGTGTCTACATGTCTGTTGCATGACTGTTTGTGGGTGCATGTGTGTGTATGCATCTGTATACCTGCATGTCTGTTGCATGTGTGTCCTTGTGGGCATGTGTGGGTATGCATCTGTGTGTCTACATGTCTGTTGCATGACTGTATTTCTGGGTGCATGTGTGTGTGCGCATCTGTGTATCTGCATGTCTGTTGCATGTGTGTCCTTGTGTGTGTTGTGTGTCTGTGCATCTGTGTGCCTTCATGACTAGCCTCAGCACGGCAGGAGCCTTGGCTGTGAACATGCCGCCGCTCAGCCCAGATGCGAGGAAGCCCCACAAAGAAGGAGAGGACGTCTCCACCTGGAACCTGCCCCCAGCCTCTGCTGTTTCCTGTAACCACAGCAGAATTTCTCATGCAAACAAATTCAGTGCCAGCTGGTTCTGCTGCCTTCGCCTCATGAGTTTATTTTACGTTTATTTTGGAACTCGGAGCAATAATGAAAAAAATCATTACCAGCGATAATAGGCTTGGCAGGGAATTTGGCAGTTCCATCCATCAGAGAGCACCCTGAGATGTGTGTTCAGTTGTTAAGAAAGTGAGAGAAGTGCCTGTTGCATGTTGGTGAACTGTAACCCAGCCACACTCTTGCTGTTGAAAGTCACAGGCGGCGTTCAAATGTCGGGACCATTAGATCTGTGGTCAAAATCCAACGACAGAGCAGATTGGATCTTTGCACCCGTAAAAGGACGCCTGTTTTCTTGGACAACTGACGGGCACCTACCCGTGACTTCCCAGTCACTGGGGGCAGAAATCCTTCTTTAACTTGTCATTGAGACGAGTTGCTGTCTGCTGATTTCACTGGAGAGGCATTCACTGCCTGCAGGAGCAGCGGGCAGGCTAGGCAGAAGCGGAGGGACTGGCTTCCACCAGGCATCACAGTGGCCGCGGGACCTTCAGACACAATGGAGCTAGCCCTCGGAAGAAACTAAGCCCTCAGCCTGCAAGGGAATTCTCTTTATTTTGAGGCAAACTCTTCCACCAAAAGCTGGAAGGTCCTGCTTGCTTACAAAACAAAGACTGTGCTTACTTCTTGCTAGAGTGATATTTTCCTTTCTCTCTTCTTTCTTTGTTATCCCCGCCACCTAGAAGACACTCACTGTATCCTGAATTGATGATTGACTAGATGAATGAATGAATGAATGAATGAACAAATGAAAGTGCAGCACCATTCGCAGTGACATGGTCCCGTTACTCTCCACCACCCTGTCTCAGGTGCCCTGCTCCATGGGACCACCTCCCTTGGGGGACACACAACACTGACACCTTGTTAATGCAGATTAGAAAAAACTGTACCTAGCACATTGATGCGTGATTCACAGACACAATTGCTTGGGACAAGGCAAGATTTACTGACATTTCAAAAATGCATAATGTACACAGAATTATTACAAAAGTAATAGTACAGTTGGCAGTCTGTGGCATACAGCTGCACAGGTTGTGCACTCTACAACCCCAAAGCATGTCCTTNGCCTGGCCCCAGGCACAAGGGTGCCAGATAAGTACCTACCTGGGATTGCAAACCAGGACGCCAGGGGACAACGGGTGTTTGAGGTGGCCTGGGACGTGAGCGCATGCTTTGGACAAATGAGTTTGGGCAGAGGGAGGGCTGCCCGGTGTGTGAGCATCCGGGGGGCCCCCGTAACAAATGACCACAAATGAGCAGCTTAAACAACAGGAATTTAGGCGCTCACCGTTCTGGAGGCCACAGTCCAAACAAACTCAAGGTGTCCCAGGGCTGCGCTCCCTCTGGAGGCCCCAGGGGAGGATCCTTCCCGCCTCTCCCGGATTCTAGGGACCGAGGCGTCCCTGGGCTTGTGGCCACATCGCTCCCATGCCTGCCTTGTTGTCAAAAGGCTTCTCCTCTGTGTCTGTGTCTCAAATCTCCCCTCTTATCCCTAATAAGGACCCTGTCACTGGGTTGAGGGGACCCTAATCCAGGACAATCCCACATCTACAAAGACTCTGTTTCCAAACTAGGTCACATGCACAGGTTCCGGGTGGGCGTGTCTTTTCGGGAGGGCCACCCTTCAACCCTCTCCCAGCTCCTGGTGGCCCAGGCGTCCTTGGCCAGTGGCTGCATCATCCCGATCGCTGTCTCCGTTGTCACGTGGCTTCTCCCCTCCGTGGGTCTGTCTCTCCTCTTCGGTCTCTTAGAAGGACCCTGTCATTGGATTTAGGACCACGTGGGTAGTCCAGGATGACGTCATCTCAAGATCCAGAAGTTAAACCCACATTGGGTGGGTCTACAGAGGGTCCACAGTGCCTAGGGAGCGTGACCCACACCCAGGGGTAGTCAGCCCAGGGTGGCCACCTTGCCCCACTTCGACAGACACTAAAACTCACAATTTTTATATCAAGCCTCCCAGCTCATGGTTAAACCCTGTGAAGCCTAAACTAAGACATTCTGTGAGATGCCGTCCCTGAGGGAATTGAGGGGTAGTGGGTGTCACAAAGATGGGTTGGCGGTGGGTGTGCTGATTGGGGATGGGTGGGACGGGTAGGGTCCCGGGGCTGGACGTGATTGCTTTGGACACGTCCCACAGACACGGTTTAAGGGTCCCTCCTTGGTCCAGCGAGGGTCTGGTGTTTGGGGTCTCTTAAAGCTCGTGGTTCTTCTAACAGCTTCAGCTGGCTCAAACAGGGGTTTGGCCTCTTAGGCAGCTGAGTGGAGACTTCCTCCCTTCCCTCCCGCCTCTCTCCTGGGCATCCCAGAACCCCAGGACCGCGAATGTGTTATGAGGGCTGGCTCCATGCGTCCCAGCACTTCCCTGACTGAGATTCGAGTTCCCCTCCTGACCCCCATTTCTCTCTCCTCTGCCACCCTCATGAGGCTTTTCTTTCTCTATAACATCTGTCACCTTCTGTCCTTAATTACCTATCACTGTCTGTCCTCCACCAGGGTCATGCTGTTGTGTAGGTCGTGCACTGCACAACCGTACTTGGTGACGCTTCTGTCCCTCTGGCGTGTGTTACACTCCCTGAGGCACTTGGGGGGTGTTTGGGAGAGCCACCAACCTGTCATGTCAAAATGCAATTTTAATTTTTTTTNTTACTTTTCTGTTTCTTCCTGTTCCCATTTCTTTGGGTTTTTTTATTTTTAAATTTTTAAAAATTCTTTTATTTTTTAGTAGAGCCATCCTGCCACCTGTTGGCAGCTCAGCTCGGGCAGGGCATTGAACTGCTGTTGCTCAGAGCTCGCACTCTTGAGCGAGCTCTTAACCAACTGAGCCACTCGGCCAGCCCTTATTTCTTTGGTTTTGACAGCCCCCTTTACCCTTGTGAATTTATCCTGTTACATGATTCCAGTAACAGCCCCTTGTCTTCCTCAGGTGCATCATAACTATGCACTATTTAACTGCTGCTGAAAAACGAAACATTGTTCATCACGGCCCCCCCGGCCTCCATTCCCTCCCTGCTGTCCTCATCATGGGATATTTGCTTTCCCCGCTTCATTCTTTTCCCCTCCCACACCCCTACCTCCAAGATAAGACCTTTGGAAGAACATGTCCTTCCTCTGTTTCTTCCCCGTTCTTAGGTTTGGCCCAGGACATCTGTTACTTTCGTTCCTAACAACTAGGCTTTCCCGTGCAGACGTCGCTTCTGTCCCAGTGGCCTCATTTGATGTTTGCATTCCCCCATCCTGGGCGGCCCAGTCATCTCAGGGGACAACACCTGCTGTGTGCAGGGCCAGTAGGCGCCGCCTGTCCCGGGGCACAGACAAAACTGGGCATTGAGACTGATGTGGGCTCCAGGCTGGGCCCCCAGGCACCTCCACTGGACCCTGAGACGATCGCTGCTCTGTCTCACGTCTCCCACACCTTCCGAAGGCACCGGGGAAAGGCTGGGCGTGCTCCCAATGGGACCTGGATGCCTTAGGAGTGCAGTCCCCGCCTTCCCGCAGGCAGAGGGCTCGGGCTCAGAGCGCGGTGTCCATGGTTCTGAGGCCAATGCGACCACACTCTTTCTCACCGTGTTAGCCCGTTTTCCATTTGTGGCATTGCTGTTGCTCTTTTGCTGGTAGTAGGATTTGGAACAGGGGCGGGGGGGGGCACCAGGCTCCCAACTCCCTAGCACTGACCACTGCCCCCCAAACCGTGCCTCCTGCAGGTGCAGACAGATGACCTACTCAGACGACCTGCCCCAGATCTCCGTGGTCTTCATCTTCGTCAACGAGGCCCTGTCGGTCATCCTGCGCTCCGTCCACAGCGTGGTCAACCACACGCCCTCCCAGCTGCTCAAGGAGGTCATCCTGGTGGACGACAACAGTGACAGCGGTGAGTGGGGGCCGGCGTGAGGCCGGCAGGGGGC